CCACGATMAAAGTCTTTAGGCTTTAATCTATATTTAAACAGGTTCTCTACTTCCAAGCAGACATTGTCATGGATTCCAGATTCCTTTTTTTCAAGGTAGATGTTGCCTGTGGTCTTATTGATTGATTATAATAATTATTGAATAAATATTATTTGATTTGATTAAATAGCCTCCTCTGCAGGCATTACTACGAATCAAGGGATTCCTTTCTTTTCTTTTTTGTTTTTTCTTTCTTTCTTGTCACTAGTACCTTGCGGCCAGGATGACTGTACAAAGGAAGTCCATATTGAGGAAAAAAGAGTTGCCTTCGGAGGAGGCTAGATTCTTGATAGATTGATTGTTTTAAAATTTGCCTGGTCTGAAATTGGATAGCAGACTGGGAATGATTGTGACTTTTCCTTCAATTGAATGACTCCATTACTGAATAATTTATACAATGAACTGATTGATAGACTGACAGATTGATTATCAATAATCAAAAATGATTTAATGAGCAAATTAATTGTGGTTGGATGATTGATTGATGATAATTTGTTATAGTTTGATGAGTGGTAGGATCTCATCTCTTAAGGATGAAACTGGTGCTGTAAGTACAATTCAAATTAACCTTAGCATTCTACCATGAAAAAGTCATTCAGAGTGATTTCATGTTTTTTGTAATCATATTTTAAAGGCCACCCTTGCTAATGGGCCTGATAGAACATTATTCRATGGTCCTTCTCCTTATGATAATATGGGATGCATTGATGGGCTATACAAATAGAATCAGTCTGTTTTCTGATGACTGTTTGACAATTTTCAAACAACAAGTTRACATTMATTTTARTCAGTTCTACAATTATTATTGAGTTTGGCATGCTCTGGAATATTCTTTTTGTCCCTTGAAAACTTTTTCTCAATTAAATCTGACATCTTTACGCTTTTTGAAATACTAAAACTGAGCAAATTCCCCCAAAAATTGTAAATCAATATTATATATAGAAGAAATTTATATCCTCTAAAAAACTGAGAAAATTATAATAGTTCCAATTTTGAATTGGAAGTACTTGAATTCAACTACCAAATTTAGCATCAAAATTATGCTTATCGTTTTGAATATTTCAGAATTATCAAAATAAGCAGTCGACAACTTTCAATCCTCTTGTGGGTTCCTGCTCAAAATTATTATAAGATTTAGACAGCTACAAACAACTACAAAATTTAAAAGTGAATAAAATGTGATTATGATCTAATGCAATATGTCTTGTAGATATTTATAGACAGAGATCCAGAAGCATTTGTTCCCATATTAAATTTCCTAAGGACCAAGGAACTTGATCCAAGGTAAATTAAGTGCGCATGCAAGTTTATTACCTCTAACATATAATAACATGACTGTATCATAATTAGTGTTTCATGGTTTTATTCAAAGCACTTTAATTTTCTAAAATGTAAATTGTTTTAATTAAAGTTTTATACATGTTTAGTATTAGGTAAGTTATTAAATTATGGTAAATCTCAGTAATTTTCAGTCTCAGATGTTACTAGAGGGTATACAGTACATGTATGATTGGTCAAATGCCTGACTAGTTTATTTTCATACTTCTGGTGTTCTTGTTTATGGGTCATTGTCTAAAATAGCTACCCACTGTATTGGGATGTGTGTTACCAGTCAAGAGTTTTGGAAATAAATAAAATGTACTTTTTGAAGTCTAATTATCTAAAGTAATAATTAACGAATTTTCAGAGGGCTTGATTTGAGAGTCATCAAACATGAAGCTGAGTTTTATGGGATATCACCCCTTGGTGAGTTTTATGTAACTTATTGATGTATTGAAATAGCCTCCTTTGCTCCGATATTACATAAAAATTATGGAAACAGTGAGAGACTTAAATCCTGTCTTCTTGGTCAGTTCCTGGTTTGATTAAYATCTTTAATGTCTGATAAGAACTGGGTATGGATAGATTAGGATCAGAACATGCTTAAATCCTTCCTTTCTATCCCCCTTCTCCCTCTGGTAAGTTTTTGTCTTAACACAGGAGTCCCAAAGATTAGGGCTGCCAGCAAAGGAGGCCAGTATTGGAATGTTTTAAAATGATATAATTATCACTGTAATACCATTTGAATTAAATGTCATGATTTTTCATTTCTCTTTTTCTTTTCTTCAGTGAAAAGAATAAATCTCTGTGAGGAGGTGTCATGTTCAAAATGCGGCGATGTTCTTTTTCATTGCTATCTCCATCCCCCAGGTAAGTACAACCCTATGTCTATTAAATGCTAGTCTCCTCTCGCAGCTGTTAGGGAGTTCGTTCCAGGGGGAAGTGACTTGGGAACGAATGTCCTAACGGCTGCGAGAGGAGACTAATTAAATGCAGGAAGTCCCCATTTTTTTTCAACCACTTTTCCCTTTTTTTCTGAAGATATTAGAGATAGTCAGGCAATCTCTATTAGGTGTAAGCCAGCTTGCCTTTAATTTAGTGCTTTGCTCAGCTTTGAATCCACTGTGAATCCACATAAGTAATGTTGTACCCTATTTAAAGGCCGGTTTGCACTTGCGATTTTTGCAGGCGATTGCCACGGGATAATCTCCACTTTGATAATTGCACAACTCAAATAATATGTGTAAAACAGTCAATTGCAGTGAAGTTGCAGCTAATTTCAAGCATGTTTCAAAAAAGCTCAGGTGATGGTCGCGCAACAATATTATATTGCCCTGCAAAAATCGCAAGACAATGTAAACTGGCCTTTAGTAAGCAATGTCATTATTTATAATGAATCTCCCGTCTATGTTATGTCCTCAGAACTACCTTTGCCATCAAGAGAAAGTCTGTTATCTATTTACAGAAGAACTTCAAGCTGCAGTACAACAAGCAGCTCAACAAGAGAAACTATTGTAGCTAAAGAGCCTTGTGGAAGAACTTCCATTTGTGAACCCAACTTTCAACCTTTAGGTATAAAGATGTGATTAACTAGTGAAATTCATTGTGGATTGTTACACATATAAATCAAAAGTTTGATTTTTTCGAATGCTGAAAAAAAAACCTTGAACAAACTAAAAACAAAGAAACAAAAAAGTAACAAAAACAGTCGCAAACCATTGATATTTCACTATTGTAGTCATAAATATGGTCCAATTTTTGTTAAAAAGCATGCTGTGAGATTTGCCATTTTTCCTGCAAAACCAGGAGATTTTATGTCAATATTATAATGTTGATGTATATCATTCTATAGAGTGACTTAGTATCATTCTCACTATTCACAACATCATAATTCAGCATTGTCTAGGTCATAAATATTCCATTGTTTTTTATCTATAATATTTTAGAAATTAATCCAAGGAAAGCACTAATGGTCATGGGTCACCATGGAGTGATTGCAGTGGCCTTTGCTCATTGTGTTATCTGTTATAAGTAAGTACAAAAAATGACATTACTCCTGATAATATTAATTTATTATGGTACTGTTAATACWGYWSTWYKWTRATRATKATGATGATGATGAYGATGAATTTGTTTTGATGATTACTTTCTTCATAGTAAATATTAAAAAATTATATTAATATATTGAAAGTATGACAGAAAAAAGTCATCTACTAGTATTAGACAGTATTGAATTTCATATTATAATTATTATAGTAAAGTAAGACAAAAAAAAAGGAAGAAAATAAACATCATAAAAGTGTCCATTCGATCAACTGTGACTATTCGTTTGTTGAGTCGTCCCTCAKCTATTTGTTTTTTCCCCATTCATTTTTAACACACCAAACAAAGACAGAAGGGCTATCAGTATTATATTTTACCAGTGATAACATGATCATTATATTTGATAGATTAAAAGACACAGCAGAATGGATCATGGTTTTTATATCACCATACCTTGARAACTGTGTAGAAAAGATGGCCTTGAATGCGAAAGTATCAGCCGGTTCACTGGGTGACAGAATGGTTGCTGTATCATCAGGCACTCAGATAAGACTATGGAGCTTTTCTCACGGGGATGGGGGATATGCTAAAATGGATATTGGTACGTATTTTTGAGGGACAACTGCCCCCCCCCCCCCCCCCCCCCCCCCCCATAAAGTCCTAAAAGCTTTCATAGCATTTCTGTATTTAGCAATTCTCGCTAAGAATTCTGGTCGACCACTACAGTCATTCCAAAGCTTGTGATTGAGTAAGACAATAAAACCATTTTATTTTATTTTTTACAAATTTCAAACATCAATTTTATGGCGGATTCGTAGAATTTCTTAAAGTGAGCCCGAAGCATCTTGCATCCTTTTAGTTTGGACAGATGATAAATACCTTTCACAAAGTACAAATGTACTTTACAGGTACTATCGTTCTATCATTCTATGATATATTGTATGCTTGACGCATTTAAACGTATATAAAAAATAWCRCGAGCGCGCGCTGCTTTGTGGTTGGTTGGGATTCTTTAAGGTATAAGATAATCCTTTTAATGCACAATAACCATTCTTACAATAAAATAAACAAAAATATTTCATGTACGACAAATTWGAAAGTAGAAATGATAAGGTCTTCAATGATGATATCGCACTTGGAATCCAATACAACGATCCAATGCTAAAACTACCGTACATATCATGAATTGAACCATAGTTATCTCGCGATGCAAGTGTCTTCTCAATATTGCCGCTTTGCACTGCAGGCACATTACATGTTCTCAGGGTTCGTGCTACTCCTTGAAATCYTTAARAAGTCCTGGGATTGAAAACTCGTTTTCAAGGGCGCTTGTAAAGAAYGTGAAAATGTGAAAAATCGCTAAAACTCCTGGAAAACTCCTTGAATCTGATGAAATTAACATGTTGCTTTTTGCCGTTTGGATTGAAAGGTGGCTATTTTTGAAAATCGYTACCTGAAACATTCGCTTSAAAAATCGCATTTWTYKTGCTTAAAAAATACTTGAAAAATCCTCGAATTTTTCAGGGAAAACTATGAACGAAACCTGATACAATTTTACGCCAGCTAGACCGACGTCATAATGGAATTAGCGTCTCGTTGGCATTTTTTTTTCACATGGTTCAATGGATCTATTGTATGTGATGTATAATGTTCTCATTGTAGGTACATTTGATCTGAGTGTACCAGTCGATGCCCTGTTTTTTATTGGCAGTCAACTGGTAGCTACAAGTCACACAGGGAAGATTGGAGTGTGGAATTCAATGTCACAGCACTGGCAGGTAGCACTTTTGATATGATTCACAATATTRCATACGTTACAAGTCACTGGATTATGTAACTATATGAAGCATTGAGACAAAGTATCAAAGCCATGATCACTAACAGACATTATCTTTTATTGCTCACTGTACCTTGATGACTCGGTTTAATGGTCCTAAGATACTGATCCTGTGTATGTCAAGCCATGATTTTTTTTAATTTTCTCAAAAACAAGGTTTATCTTTGCACTTCTTTCCACTGGTTCTTCACCAATTTTGATACTTAAACGTATGCCTAGGGAAAAGATCTGTCATTTCTGGTCATTCCATTTTCAATAGAGGCGTGGTGCCCGCCATATGCAAAGTTTCAGGGGATTGCATTTCAGCTCCACATGGAACAGGTTATGCAGTGGCTGTATAAAGTTTTCCACAGTTTGAAAAAAAAAAGAAACAATATTTGCAGACATCCAATAGAGCCTCCATACAATAGAGCTAACAGGCTAACGCATTGCTATAAACGTTTCCACCCAATTCAAACCACGGCCGGGAGTAAATGTCATTGTTCGTTGTATTTTCATTTCACAGTTGAGTTCTTAGAAGCAAAATTTCTTTTTTTCCACATGATTTAAATTGGGTGGTAACGTACATAGCAACGCGTTAGCCGAATAGCTCTATAATTGTTGCCTTCTTGCATCAAGATCAGTAGCTATGACAATTCTCGGTGCTTATGCAAGGGGTGCTGTTTACCTACAAAAGATCTGATGCCTCTGTATSACTATCTATTATATAATCTAATCTAATATCAGGGGTGTTCTTTGTAGATACAAGATGTGGTACCTATCACTAGCTATGATAAGGCTGGGTACTTCCTCCTCCTGGGCTGTTCTAATGGCTCTATATACTATATCGGTAAGAAGCCACGCTTTATACCACAGATGTGACGTAATAGAGTACTCAAGTGTGACGTCACAAAAATACTTTTTTTCGAAGTTTTCGTATTCGTTGAAATATCCTTGAAGCGCATGGAAAGAAGTAGCTGTCTACCAAATTTCAGAGTCCTAGTGCCATTTTATAGCCGAGATACAAGCGATTTTATGGTCGGGTGACCACATTCAAACGCTTGTAAATTTGGTCTTGTTCAAAACGAAAGGAACAAGGCAAAATTTTACAAGCGTTTGTATGTGGTCATYCGACCATAAAATCGCTTGTATCTCGGCTATAAATGGCACTAAGACACTCATATTTAGCGAGGACGCATAATAAATGATGCACTTTCAGAATATAGAGGGCAAATTTTAATTTTAATTTATTGACGTCATCACTTGAGAACTCTATATGTTATACAGATATACTGTAATATAGAGAAGACAGTATATTAAAGACCAAGGAGGTATCTTTTGAAATATGGAAGTTGTTGTTGTCCGTAAACAGTGGTCCGTATTGAATTTATGTCCTTAATGCACAGGTTTCGTTCAGTACTATATATGTATCAGCAAYATAAAGAGATATCTGTGATGTAGGGGAGAAGCTGGGGAGAAGCGTTGCGTGACGGCACAGGGGCGGCTGTTATCCATAATTGTAAAGGTTTCCTTGATGTAAAGTGCCATGTCTGTAATAGAGCGGATTTCGTATGACTGTGTAAAAGCACGGATCACAACACGGACACGACACAATCACGGAACCTCGCCTTCTAGAATTTCAAATGAAAGTAAAGATTTTCCAGTGCATCACGGCTACGGCACGGTACGGACACAGCACGAACGTACCGTGTTTTTTTGCACAGTCATACTAGCCCTCCCCACCCCCTCCCCTTCCGTTTTCCCCCTCCCCCTTCCCCTAGAGCCGCCACTCAGGCTACAGTCATACGAAATCCGCTCTATAGACGAGATGTCCGTGATATAGGAGGTGTCCGTTATACAGCGGTGTCCGTACTAYCCGGGGTGCCTGGACATAATAATAATAACGTTATTGATAAAACTGATTTGCAATCCATAGGGTTGAAAAACTCAATAGATATGTTTACAAGAATAGTATGAAGTCTACAAAATTATATATAGTCATATACGCTAGAGGAGTCCGTAATAGTGCTAGATCATCGTAACATGAGGTGTTTTGAAAGTAGAGGCCATGAGGGATATTCTCAGTGTCTGTATTGCTTTTTATATTTGATTTTTTTTTTACTGTTTGTTGTAGACATGCAGAAGTTCCCACTACGAATGAAAGACAATGATCTTTTAGTCACAGAACTGTACAAAGACCCTAATGGTGACATGGTTACAGCGTTAAGTGTTTATCTCACCCCTAAGACATGTAAGAAATTGCATTTTTATAACGCGCTCTTTGATTGGCTAGGCATGTGGCTTATCAAAGTATAGTTAATATTGACAATCATATYCATCCTTTCTCTTCGCGCCAGGAGGCGCATAAAGYCTTCACTTTTTTTYMAWWWTKRWT